TACAGTGTCAAAAGGTTGACATAATTAAAATGAATAAAGCCTGACTAAACAATTACTTTCTGCCCCACCCTGTCTGAAGAAACAGAGAAAAGAAGTAAAATACAGACAGTCTGGAATTGTCTGAGTTTAAACTACCAACTATGTCTTTATTCAACCCCAAATACTATGTAACTATGTAAAGAAGGTGGAGGTTTTTTTGGGCCCCCGAAATGTGCTGCCTGTTTTGTGTTATCCTACTGTGAACTAGTATTGAAATGAAAGAAATTTTTACTTTTTAACCTTTCCTCATTGGACTTCGTATATGTGTATCATCATCTCAGGGCTGCTTGCATTGTTGTGTGGAGAGCAGACTCACTGGAGCCACTGTATCCTGTTATAATCTGACTGACTCACTAAACATTCAAATCAAGTGCCCCATTTTCACACGTTTGACACTATGTAGGGGCTCATTCTACACCACCGAAGAGGAGGGGTGCTAAATGTATCTCATTGGGAGGACTGTGGTCTGAATTAGCAATGTTTACTACTGTTATTGTAGACCCAAACCTCTCTGTTTCTATTCGGTCTGATGTGTAGGCCAGTCTAATCTGAACTGCAAATGATTGTGTTGAGTATTTCCAAGCACTAGTATGAAGCAAAAAGTCGATATTTTGCTTATAGCGGCAGACTCAATTTTTTTAATTTCATTTTCTAATATATACAAATGTTGTGGAATTTTAGTAGTTTGAGAAAACTATATTTAAAGTAGATTATTTAAGCCACTTTAGATGCCTGCATACACATAAGAATGTATCATTGGCGAATGAAGCGCTGATGCTATGTCTGTTTATATACAGTAGAAACAGGGACACCGGCACTCCAATGTAAGCGTGAAAATAAAGTCTTATTTATTGAAAAACGACATGCCACAAATATGCTTTTGCACAAAGATGCTTTTGCATCTTTGTGGCATGTCGTTTTTCAATAAATAAGACTTTATTTTCACGCTTACATTGGAGTGCCGGTGTCCCTGTTTCTACTGTTGTATGCCGTCCGTCGATCACCGCAGCACCCATTTGATTTCCCTTGGAGACAAGCGGTCAGGAGTGCGATAGGTTCATGCATCTAGTCTGTGTATATACACACACACAGTCAGACCCAGTATTTAGTGGGGGACAGGAACCATGTTACAAGCATCCCCTATAAAGGAGATGTAACAAATGAACGTTCAAATAATCATGTAACATGGTTGAGCTGGATGGACTTTTTTAAACTTATGTTGAAGCAGAACTTTGCCCTGGATTGAAAAACTTGTATACCGGAAGGATTTTAATTGCAAAAGAGACATACCATTCCACTTCTACGTAGTCAATCAGACGTGTCCCTAATTTCCCCCTCACCTGTTGTGTCAAGAGCAGCAGACAGTAGGGCAGAGAAAGACATCAATTTCCTCTGTCCACAGAATGGAGGAGTCAAATATGGTGTGTGTGTTTGTATTGTGTGTCTGGGTGTATTAGTGTGTGTATTGTGTATTGGTGTGTGGGGGTGTATTTCTCTGTGTATTTTTGTATTTGTGCGTATTTCTCTGTGTGTGCGTGTGCGTATTTCTCTGTGTGTGCGTGTGCGTATTTCTCTGTGTGTGCGTATTTCTCTGTGTGTGCGTGTGCGTATTTCTCTGTGTGTGCGTGTGCGTATTGCTCTGTGTGTGCGTGTGCGTATTTCTCTGTGTGTGCGTGTGCGTATTTCTCTGTGTGTGCGTGTGCGTATTTCTCTGTGTGTGCTTGTGCGTATTTCTCTGTGTGTGCGTGTGCGTATTTCTGTGTGTGTGCGTGTGCGTATTTCTCTGTGTGTGCGTGTGCATATTTCTGTGTGTGTGCCTTTCCCCTACACCTTGTGAGATTGTGCATTTTACAGATGAGATTTCCCAGCAATGCACTTTGATATAAACTTCCCGGTGCCGCACCCAATCAAGAAGTGTAAAAACAGTCATTCTAAGTAAAAGCAAAACATATTTGTTTAATGTACGTGAGATGATTTCATTGTAGCACTCAAAGCTGCATGCTGATGTTATTTTATGTGAAAGGGGTCAAAGTAACAATTATCCTTGCAGCGAGGCTATGCCTGCACTTCAGGGTTAAGTACTCATTTTGTCTAGGGGACTCAGATAAAGCAGATGTACTTACCTGATCTTTGGTCCCGCTGGCTCCCTCCAGGTTGCTAGACCGGTCCCTGCAGCCTCTTGGGGAGAGAACTTTGATGTGAAAGGGGGAGAACTCTGATGTGAAAGGGGGAGAACTCTGATGCGAAAGGGGGAGAACTCTGATGTGAAAGGGGGAGAACTCTGATGCGAAAGAGGGAGGACTCTGATGTGAAAGGGGGGAGAACTTTGATGTGAAAGGGAGAGAACTTCAATGTGAAAGGGGGAGAACTCTGATGTGAAAGGGGGAACTTTGATGTGAAAGGAGGGGAGGACTCTGATGTGAAAGGGGAGAACTCTGATGTTAAAGGGGGAACTTCGATGTGAAAGGGGGAGAATTCTGGTGTAAAAGGGGGAGAACTCTGATGTGAAAGGGGAGACCTCTGATGTGGAAGGAGGAGAATTCTTATCTGAAAGGAGGAGGACTTTGATGTGAAAGGGGGGAGAACTCTGATGTGAAAGGGGGGAGAACTCTGATGTGAAAGGAGGGAGAACTCTGATGTGAAAGGGGGGGACCTCTGATGTGAAAGGAGGTGAGAACTCTGATGTGACAGGGGGAACTCTGATGTGAAAGGGGAGAACTCTACTGTGAAATGTGAGAACTTTGATGTGAAAGGGGGGAACTCTGATGTTAAAGGGGAGAATTCTGATGTAAAAGGGCAGAACTCTGATGTGAAAGTGGATAGAACTCTGTTGTGCAAGAGGGAGAACTCTGATGTGAAAGGGGGAGAACTATGATGTGAAAGGAAGAGAACTTTAATGTAAAAGGGGGAGAACTTTGACGTGAAAGGTAGAGATGGGGGGAGAACTCTAATGGGATAGTGGAGAACTGCGATGTGAAAGGAGGGGAGAATTCGGTTGTGAAAGGGGGGAGATCTCTGATGTGAAAGGGGGAGAACTCTGATGTGAAAGGGGGGAGCCTGATGTGAAAAAGGAACTCTGATGTACAAGAAGGAGAGTTCTGATGTGAAATGGGAGGACTCTGACCTGAAAGGAGGGGAGTCTGATGTTAAATGTGGAGAACTCTGATGTGAAAAGGGGAGTCTAATGTGAAAGGGGGAGGACTCTGATCTGAAATAAGGGAACTCTGATGTAAAAAGGGGGGAGGGCTCTGATGTGAAAGAGAACTTTGATGTAAAATAGAATAACTCTGATGTGAAAATGGCATAACCCTGGTGTGGAAGGGGAAAACTCTGATGTGAAAGGGGGAAAACTCTGATGTGAACGAGGAAAATTGTAATGTGAAAGGAGGGGACTGTTATGTAAAAGGCAGGGAACTTTGATGCGCACGGTGGAGAACTCTGATGTAAAAGGGGAAAACTCCGATGTGAAAGGGGGGAGTCTGATGTGAAATGTGGAGAAAGCTCATGAGAAATGTGAGAACTCTGATGTGAAAAGGGGGAACTCTGGTGTGAAAGGAGGAGGCCTGTGATGTGAAAGGAGGGGAACTCTGATGTGAAAGAGGGGAACTCTGATGTTAAAGGGGGAGAATTCTGGTGTAAAAGGGGGAGACCTCTGATGTGAAAGGGGGGAACTCTGATGTGAAAAAGGGGGGACTCTGTGCCTGGTGATGTGAAAGGGGGAGAACTCTGATGTGAAAGGAGGAAAACTCTGATGTGAAAGGGGGAAGAACTCTGACGTGGACGGGGGGAACTCTGATGTGAAAGGGGGAGAACTCTGATGTGAAAAGGCAGAGAACTATGATGTGAAAGGGGGAGGACTCTGACATGGAAGGGGGGAACTCTGATGTGAAAGGGGGAGAACTCTGATGTGAAAAGGCAGAGAACTATGATGTGAAAGGGGGAGAACTCTAATGTGAAAGGAAGGGACTTTGATGTGAAAGTTGGAGAACTCTGATATGAAAGGGGAGAACTATAATGCTAAAGGGGGAACTCTGATATGAAAGGGGAGAACTATAATGCTAAAGGGGGAACTCTGCTGTGAAAGGGGAGAACTATAATGTTAAAGGCGGAACTCTGCTGTGAAAGGGGAGAACTGTGATGTGAAAATGGTGAACCCATTTTATTTTTGTTCTAAAATCTATACCAGACCTCTATCTGGGATAAGGGTTCGGCATGGATTTAGGAGGTGCCACGTTATCTTTTACATTTGTGTTGACATTTAAGACTGGGGTGCCTGGAGATGTAGCATACTTTTAATGGGTGCTGTGACAGAAAGGAGGTTGAGAAGCACTGCTCCAAGCCATGTGTCTGTATTCTGCACACTGGTCATAGAACAATGATTGTAGAGTTCTGTAGCTGATCACAAGGCCTCACAACAATCTTCGAGTGTAGGCCATTTTCCTGATCTTGCCCCCTTCTTCCTGCAGGCCGTGTGTAGCGGGAAGTAGTGCTTCCTATGTGTCAGTCGCCTGTGACGTGCTGGGAGAGTACAGGGAAGTGAAAATGAAATTGCCTTTTGCTGAGAATGGCTGGCCGAGGGGGCGGCCTCACCAATGAGGAGGCTGCAGTACAAGCCACCGATCCTCCCCTCCCTGTCCTTCTGCTGAGCAAACACGAAACAAACAAATCCTGGGAGGGGGGATCTTCTGCCTCAGCTCTCTCACTTTCCTCTCCTTGTTTTGCTTTCGATCTGGAGCCGTCAGTTTTAGTTTTGATCCTGCGATCATTTACTATTGGTAAGTAACTTAAGCCTAGCTTTGCCTGGGCGCTGATCGTTACCGGCGGCCGCTCCGTATCAGAGCTCGCTCTTTTTCTCCATTGCACTCCAGCTACGGGCACATTTCAGACAATTACAGGAAGCCGCCTGTTACGAAATAAATGTGAGAAGGGGAAAAACAAACCCGACAACAAGCCAAGAGCGGTGTTATTAGGAAGCGTCGATTTGGGGTTGAGATAAGGTGAAGTTTTAATTTCGCTTTTGGATTTAAAGTGGCGATCGGCTGTCAGAATGCGAACGCTGGTGATCTGCAGTCAGATGACGATGGCTCCGGGCGGGCAGGAGGGATCGGTGCAGGTAACCTCGGTGACATTTCTTCTTTTGGATTCCTGTCCTTTTTAGGAAGATCTGTTGGCATTTGGTGTGTGTTGGTGGATGCAGAGCAGCGATTTCAGAACATGGACAGGAATGCTAGGCACACATCTCACCCAGCTGACAGGCTGCTATTTACAGCCTTCTAAAGAGATCTGATTTCAGTGTGTGCTCCTTGAGTGCAAACATACAACCCTGGCTTCTCATAGTAAACATCACAGAAAATGAAATCCAATCAGACCTGATCATGCATCTAAGACCATGTTGTTGTAAATGCCTTGTTTATGTATTGGTGGAGTAGCAGTTACTGCATAAGCTGCATGGTGTGTCAGCTGCATTCTGCATGTTGGTAAATTCTACAGTCTGCTTTCCTCTGTATATTATTATACATCAGTGGATTGAAAAGCATAGCTGCACACAACCTGACATTGTCTGGCAATACACTACACAGTGTTAGTGATGCAACCAGCTGGATCACTGTAACTGTAGGACATGTCATGTCACCATTCCCACGCAAGCCTTGAAATTTTACAGGATGCTGGAGTCTTTCTTTTTAATCTGTATCTGAAAAGCTAAAATGTTCACCTATGCCCCGGGGAAGTTACGCAATTGTGGAGCAATAGTCTGCAAAACAATCCCCGTTAGAGGGCAGAATTTTCCCATGCCGCATACATTGCTGCCACAAAACATGTGCACCCTGCTGTGCTTCTTGTAGATTCATTGCACCCCAAAAGTGGCATGTTGGAAATTCGTAGTAATGTCTTCTTCGCGCGCCATACTGATATACCCCTTTTGGTTAAGTGCTGAAACAACTGGCCGATGGTGCCACAGCATACTAGTAGAATATATGTTGTGCGCCTACCTTTTTAGCTTCAAAATATCATCTTTATTTACATTCTTGCAGCATTAAAATGAAATTGCAACGTTTGGGAACTGCGCAGGGTGCCTTCATCAGGCTGGCTGTCTACTTTGCCCAACGAAGGGACCCTGCGCGGTTCCCAAGTGCTGCAAGATACTAAAGTCGGGTATATACATTTCTATTTTTTTTTGTTCAACCCACGGGCTGAACGAAAAAAAAATAATTACCCAACTGGAGCTGGCAGCTGCTTGGCTGCTAGCTCTGTATGGCCAAGAACTTTCCAATCCGCTCCATTAATCAGCTGATGGAGGGATGCCGGTTGGAAGGGTGGCGAGAGCAGCACCCACTGTGCAAGATTCAGCTGGTTCATCAGGAATCGGCCAAAATTCGTCCCATGTATACCCTACTTAAGGGGCTCTGGATTTGTATGGCCACCTGTGTACATTAGCCCATTCACACCTGTGCCTTTAAACTCGTGTCAATGAATGTATACAGGTTTTCCATTGTTTTACTGTACATCTGTGGGGTGTGTTGACATGCATTTTTGATGCATCAAGGCGTGATAAAGAGCCTATTGGTGACAAAGGTGGCATATGAAAACACATTATTATGGATAATGAAACGATGACTCCTACCTTACTTTGTGTGTTACTCCATGCTTTTATGAGAGAAGTTCATTGGATGTGGTTCTACTTGTGATCACAGGATGGTTGCTGTGTCAGTTTAAAACAGCTATGTGGAATCTGCAAAGGTTTTTTGTCTGTTTATGGAAACTATACCTTTTAGTCTGGACTCACACCTTTCCTTCTGCTTCTCATATATTTCTCTATTATATGTTCTTATAGATTTTTCATGTGGTTCCATTGTCATCAATAGGCCCTATAATGCAAAAAAACGCACATCAACACATCGAACGGATGTGAATTGGGATAATTTAAAACGGTAGCTAACCTGTGTACATGCATTGACTTGTGTTGAAACACATGGCATGAGGTACCCTTACTGTAGGCATGAGATGAGATTATCAGCCCGATCTCACAACTGTGAGGTATGTGCAAACACTACTGGCCGAAGCTCTTTAGGGACAAAAGAAATTGGACATGTTATAAAACTTTGTCTAATTGCTACTGTGTCCCATAATAAGATGGCACTAGGAAGTGTCCCTAGTAGATCAAGGTGCCTAAGGCCCCATTCACACCAGGTGCAAATTTAAAAGGAGCATCTGAAACGCAATAAAAAATGCCCACAAACGTGCTGATCAGTGCGTTTCCATTTAAATCTGTATGAGATCCATGCTGATCAGCGTGGAGAAAAAGGCTCAGGGAGCATTTCAGGCGACAGGCGGTTCAGATTGCACGGAGCTGCGTGATTGCATGAATGGTCCCCATAGGAATGTTTGGGATCGTTCATGTCGGTGGTTCAGCGCGGACAAATCTGTTTGACCGAACCGCCTTGGTATGAACGGGGCCTAGAGGAGGTTGGTTCAGGTCTGCACATCTGCCTTGGCAAATTCTCCAGAGGGTCACCGAACCATGAGTCCAAGCTTTGGCCAAGCCCCCTTAATATTGTGACCACCCCCGGCCCAATCAGTTTCAGTGGGGGGAATTTCCCACTCCATTGTGACGTATAGCTGCAGGGCAGGGAATGCACCTGCCGCTAACTGGATTCGCACCAGGCCCGGGGTCACCAGTAAAAATAACCAGTTCCTAGCCTGAGGAATGGCTTAGCAATCTATATTTGTGTCATTGCATGAAGTTCCAGTTTTGAGGTGGCTTGGGTGAACTCAGGCGAACTGTGCTCACACCAAGCCCAGGCTCATCACTAGTTATTTAAATGACAGTTACCAGCAGGTTCCTAGGCTGTGGAAAGAAACAGAAGCACTCGGAGGAAACGTATGTATACAAACTCCATGCAGATTGTGTATTTGGTGGCAATCAAACTTTAGGCAGTAGTGTGTAGTAACACTGGAACAGATGTGGATGCTTGCTTTGTTTAGTAACGGTCATAGATCAGAGTTGTAGCGTACTGGCCTTGTCTAAAGCCTTGGTTCTCAACTGGTGGGTAGTGACCCAAAAGTGGGTCGCCACCCCGTGTTTAGTGGGTCGCCGCATACCTTACACTTTTCTAGGCGAGAGGCTCCTCAGCCTCCCCCTAGTGCAGCACTGTCAGTTCTCATGCCGAGCAGCCATTCAAAATTTGCTGCCAGCGCCAAGCCTCAGCTTAGGATGGGGTGGTCTGGGGGTATGACCGCGAGGGAGCTCCATCCATATGTGCATTGCTTACAGCTCCCTCACATAGTCCTGTAGAGGTGCCTGGCCCGGAATGATTGCAGAAAAATGGTCACCAGCACTCTAGGTTTTCTTCAAAACGAAATTCTTTTATTCATTCATGCAGGTCAATTCACCATGTGTGGCAACGTTTCGGAACCTGTCCGGTCCCTTCATCAGGCAAACAAAAGTCACTTTTTTTGCCTGATTTTGTTTTGAAGAAAACCAGGAGTGCTGGTGACCATTTTTCTGTTTTGCAAGTATTTGGCGGCGCCATCCGCAGCCACTTCAGCACACCCCCCACATTGTATGGGGCTTCTCGGTCAGGAGTGCGGTGGGACTCTCTATTTGACTGGACCGGAATGATGTCACATTCTGGCTCCGTTACAGCACCGCAGCCCACACTGGACCCCAGGCTGAGGATCCACTCCAGTTCTCGTAAGGTAGGGAGACTGGGTGGACCTTAAAAAAAATATGTGTCTGTGTATGTATGTCAGTGTTTTCGAGGGCCCGTTCACACTAGTACAGTGCGTTAAACCATGCAATCGCATGTGTTGCGTTGCCATTCATTTGGCAGGGTACACCAGACACATCTCCCACAGTGCGTATGCCCGCACCGGAACGCGCGGTACCCTAATGCCGTGCGTTCCATTGCAGTGCGACTTGGGTCACAACTTAATGACCAAGGACAAATGTGGGTCCTGAGGTTACACAGGTTGAGAACCACTGCTCTAGAGTATAGTGACTGTGTACTTTCTTAACTCATGAAGCCTCCCAGGTTACTGGCAGCTGAGATAGTCATAGAGGAAAAACATTTGAGGGTGGAGGGAGGACCTGGTTCCCCTATATAGACCTTTAGACCTCATTTAGAATACTGTGTCCAGTTCTGGAGACCCCACTTACACATGTGAGAGAGTCCATAGAGGGGCAATAGGAATGGTAAGGGTTCTCATAGATAAAACATATCAGGAAAGACTCCAGGAATCTAATATGTACAGCTTTGAGGGGAAATGAGGGAATGGGGACATGATTGAAACCTTTAAATATATTAAGGGTGTGGATAAGGTTCAGGAGGGCAGTATTTTCAGTATGAAGCTAAGATGAAGAACAGGGAGACAGGACCTCAAACTAGCATTAGAAAAGTCCAAAACTAACCTTAGAAAATATTTTTTTTACCAAAAGTAATTGAGGCTCTGAATATACTCCCAGCAGAGGTAGTAAGTAGTAAGAGCCTGGGCCTGATACAAACCCACTTTGCCTAAATTTGCCCAAGCCCACTCAAAACTGTCACTGACACCATCCCCCTCCTGGCCCAATCAGTTTGGGCAGGTGCATTCTCCATCCTGCCGCTATACGTCACAAAGTGGCGGAGAATGCCTCTTGCCACCAGTGATTGGGCCAGGAGGGGGGGTGGCGGTCACAGTTTTGAGTGGGCATGGGTGAACTGGGTTTGCCCTAAGCTTAGGCTCATCTCTAGTGATGAGCTTGGTGTGAACCTTGTCTGTCCAAGCCAGCTCAAAACTGTTCCCAGGTTGGGCAGGTGCATTCCCTGCCCCACAGCTACATGCCACTTTGTGGCAGGAAATGCGTCTTTCTGCAACTGTCGCCACTGATTGGGAGGAGGTTGCTGGTCACAGTTTTCAGCAGCCTTGGGTGAACTCGACGAATTGGGTTCATACCAAGCCCAGGCTGATGACTAGAAAAGAGTCAGTCAACAGTAAGTGAATTCACACATACTGGGAACAAACCGAGGTCTATACTCAGTTTAAAAGGTTTAAGAACATGAAAAATGGGGGGACTCGATGGACCACTTGGTCTTTTTCTGCTTGGTCTCTTCTATGTTTCCACCCAAGCTGGTT